TTAGACTATAGCTCATATAAGCATGCAGGAAAGAAGGCGTCATCGCGGCTTGAGGCTTCTTTGGGAGTCGTATTTCACTATGCCGAATATTCAGAAACCCTAAAACCTAAACCACTTGGAGTTCTGTTTGTGGAAAGCTCTGAGGCCCCCCCCCCCCTTCCCAAATTTTGTGGAGCAAAGTACACAATTTGCCTACAGCTTAGTAGCAGTTACCCCTGTAATTCTTCGGTATAACCCATAAAACTGTAGGAGATTGGGGTCACAGGTATACCCCAAACCCAAGCCCAGGTCTCTGGACCGTGGACCCTTCCTTTCTATCAGGAGGTCCATGATACCGCCTGGAATATACTTGCGTGAGATAAGGGTTATGAAGGGTTCCACGGCTAGCTTATAGTGGCCACGTAGTTGACAAAAAAATGCACCCCAATCCTTTCAGCGAAGGTACTTTACTATACTATATCCCTCTCATAAGCCCATGATCGCCTCGTTTAAACAAAGTCTCGACAATGTTGTCACTGCCTGCACGGTAGCCCGCGCCCTTCTCTCGCGCTTGGAGGGCGGAGCGCATGTCCTTCCGAAATTCCGGGGCTTGAGGTTTAGGGCTTACCTAGGGTTGTACATGATAAGGGGGCATCAATTTCTGGAAATACCAGCAATGCTAAATCCTATAAGGTACCTAAAGTGCTCGCATTGCACTCATTGCGATCTTCAGAGCGCATCTCTGTGTCAGGAATCCCGGGCACAGAAATTACTGCTGGATTTTGGGTATCAGTTTCCAGGCATACTTTTTCAAGTTCAAACAAACAGCAATCCACAAGTAACTCACATGCAGGGTTTGTGTTGCTACGGTTGCCCAAAGGCCCGGTCCTGGAATCCTTTGACGAGATTCTCCATGACGTACTGGGTCTTAGTAGGGAATATAGGAATAGATAATATAGGGACTATCTATATAAGGACTATTCTCCCTTATTCCCTAACTAAAAATCCCTGAGATGACTGAGGACGGATGGTTTCCACTTGCTGCAGCTATCGGTTGACATGAGGGGCTTCAGTGTGTTCGGGGTGCGGAAAGATGTGACGATGCGCAGACTATGACTGGAGGAACTTCAAGCTGGAACTTTTTCCAAAAATCTCGGTGGTGTTGAAAGTTTGGGGTTGAGGGCCTCTTTGCTTGACTGCTAGTGCTCTGGAGCATGCCCATGAGAAAGACATGTGCCAAGGTGCTTGAGCCTTTTCAACAGGTTGGCGGGGACTGCATGTGGGGTTTCTGAAAATTGAGATCGGGCAGAGGTGATCCCTTCCTTGGGCTCCTTTAATGATTACCATACTGGAGCCCCTAGCGATCAAACCGACGGCGTTCAGTTCAGCTTGACTGGAGGACGCTAGACATGCCAGGTGAGGAGAGGGGAATGATGGAAAGAAACTACAAGATTACTGGGGTTTCTATGGGGGCAGGTACTGAGGTATCATAGGGATCCATTCCTCTAATCCCTACGTATCTGACTGCCCTCGTTGCATTGGTTCAGGCGAGCCCTTAAACAGGGGTTCTGGCCCAAACTTCCACTTCGTTGATGGGCACTTACAGGCCCAGGGGACCAGTAAGTACGTTGTAAATCACACTCCAATTGGGGGACTTCTGCTTACAAAGTCCCTGGCGCCGTCAGGAAGTCATCTTGAAGCTATGTATGTAGAGTTCAGAGTTACCGGGCAGAGCTTCCTACTTTCAACTGACCACACTGAAAATGAGATATGATGACTGCACCCAATGCTCGAACACATCGCGTCTTGTAGCTGCCTGCCTAAATGCACATGTATACCCAGACCTTCGGAGTTATAGTTAGGGTTTAGGGTAGAGTCAAAGCTCCTGAAGGCACGTTATATAGGGGACTATATAGGGGACTACTATAGGGCTGTTATTCAGGGGATACCAGGACTTACAGCATACTAGGGGTCAGGAGGGATTTGTTCTTCGCTAAAAATCTGGCCCCTAAAGATTGGAGTCAGTCTGCTAGTAGTTCTGACACTCACGAGAACAAATCTAAAGGTAACACTCATAGACTCAGAACCGAAAACAGATAATAATCAGAGCCGTATCGATATACATCCGTATACCCCTACATAATCCCTATATCCCCTTTAAAGGGTACCCCTAAACCCTAAACCCTATATACCCCCATGTAATCCCTATATCCCCTGTAAAGGGTATAGGCCCATCCTCCTGGCCCATACTTATGGTCTTGAGGTCGTTTCCCACTGAGATGATAAACCTCCCCACCCTGCTAACAATGAAGATTCCCTACATCATGCCCCAATCCAATGTGAAGGCTTAACCCTAGGCCCTATAGTACCCTATATAACTTATATAACACTACCCTAAGGGTCCATGTACCCAATAATCATATACTTACCCAAAACCTGTACTACAATTACTATTACCCAAGTCCCAAGTACCCAATTATTGGGTACATGGACCCTCTGGGCTATATAACCCTATAGTAGTAGGGGGGTTGGGAGCTGAGCACTTTTCTGATGAATTTGCACATCCAGGGTGACAGCTCAGCACTTCGGAGCTCGTGCACAGGAATTCTCAACGACTTGCACGAAATTCAACAGTTTGGCAGTTGCGTGTTTAGGGCCCTAAGCTCAGGTACCACCGTTCAGCTAGTTTGCCAGTTGCACGGCTTTTAGATCATATTAAAGAAGCTCTGCGTGAAACCACACTTTTTTGGCAAAGCAGCACGTAAAACAATGATGCAACAAGAGCCAAACGTGCAGAGTGTAACCTCTTAATGTAGATTAGCTCGGTGCCAAGCAATTCTGCCTTCATTCCGGCATGTAGAATTCTTTACTGCAAACGCGATTGCCACAATGGTTCACAAAATGGGTGCCTAGTCAGCCGCAGCATCACGCAGCTTACGCACGGACTTCGGACTTGTCTATAAGTTAAGGTATGAACGAAACGAAGGCGGCTAGGGACCAGAAGCTCAGAAAATGGTTTAGAACCTCATCTGACGGACTGCTGTGATAAGCCTCAAGCTACAGCTGTGGTAGGTAGACCTCGATAGGTGGGAACAAATCAGGCTTTTGGACTCGAATGTAATACAAAATTGTATGTTATTATACATTATACTGTATTCTACTATATCAGTTATAGTTTATTGTATATAAATTCAATGAGAGCACTCCAGTAGGTGTAATTCACATCCCTTGAGACGCTTGCCTGAAAGAGCTCAGAGTTCAGGAGTTCAGCTTGGCTTACATATGGGCTATGACATAAACTCCTTAAAGGGAACTGTATAGGGGATTATATAGGGTTTAGGGTTTAGGATGCAGGGTTTAGGGTCTAAACTCGTTAAAGGGAGTTAAATAGGGAATTATATAGTGGACTACTACAGGGTGTATTAAGGGGGCCACTAGGAGTTTAGGCTACAGCCCATATGTGCTGTCAACAACCTGCATGCTGACGGGCATGGTGATGTCAGAAGTACAGGACGTTGGGTGGAACCGTATTAGCAAGACATCTGGTTGGCGTTGTGCTCGACTGAACGTTTCGGCGCTGCCCTTCTGCACTGCACCTGTTCCAACTCGAAGTAAACCTGAAACCCTTGGCCCAAATCAGTGTCCTACTTTGTCTTACTGGTTCTTAGTAGGGAATATGGGAATATAATCCGTGTATAAGATATCTCTTCATTATTCCCTACTAACTACCAGTAAGTAGGGGCCGTGAATCAAAAGCCCCGGCTTCTTGGGAAGATTCGGGGTCACACCCGCCAACTAGGCTTACATGAGAGCTTCCCAAAATTAAGGGTACCTTTAAAAGGGATTACAGGGAGTTATAGGGATATATCGGGATATATGGGGTCTAGCGTTTCCCAAAGTAAGGGCACCTTTATGGGTCCCCATAGTAAGGGTCAAAGAATTCTGGAGTCTGTATTGGGGTCCCCGTATTCACGGAAACTACCACACATACTACTCCATTGCAAAGCCTGCCGCGAATGTTTAATGTTGCTACAACAAACTGCTTATCGCAAGCACTACAAGTCTGTAATGCACCTTTGTCTCGAAAAGGCCGCCTGTTACCACCCCAAAGACCCTAAACCCTAAGCCCCAAGAACCAGGGCTAAAAAAGTTTCAGTTTTTAATAGAGACCCAAAAAGGAAGCCTAAAAAGGTTTAAGATCTTCCATGGCTAAGTAAGTAAACCCTAAACCCTAACTTTGACTTACGTCCTGGTTTCATGTGTTCATGCTTGGCAAGACTTCCAAGAACGCCTGTGGACTTGCCCATAGTGAGCTGAATTGAAGGCGCCAGCACTTTAGCTCCAGACTCACTCCGAAACCCTCAAGCCCCAAAAGCCGAAAGAAGGCTTTCTCAGACTTAGGAGTATTTAAAGGGGTTTATAGGGGTTATAGGGGGGGTGGGTATATAGGGTTTAGGGTTTCCAAAAATTAGGGATACTTTTGGGGGGGTGGGGGTCCCCATAATAAGAACTATAGTATATCATATTGGGGTCTGTATCGGGGTCCCCCTATCAATTATACCACTGCTAGGTCTACTGAACAAAGCCTTATGCTTCTCAAGAGCAAGCCTGTGCTGCCCCAAGCAATAAAACTGTACCCGTCTTGCAGAGTTCCCAAACACGTGCTGAAAATGGGAGCCGTTGTAGTTCCAGGTAATCGTGTTACATAGAGCACTCTTGGGGATTGATGCTTTTGCTATAGGAGCCCCTCCCCCCCTTAATATCCCCGATAGTAGTCCCCTATATAATCCCTACATAGCCCCCTTTAAGGAGTTTAGATTCTGGCTCATATAGCATCTTGGGCTCCAGGCCAGTGATTGCCTTTCATCCTCCTCGTTGTGGCAGTAGAAGGTGCAGGAAGATCAACGAAGCCGTTCTGAAAATCGTGAAGGGTTTAGGGTCTAGAGTGTGGCAAGAATTGTATTTCATGGTATTGGTAGATGCTGCGACTTCCGCTGAAGTCTTACGATCTGTGCATCCCTCAAACCTCAGAACCCCATGTGACTTGTTTGTGAAGGTCTCGGTCAGCTCTCCGTGGTGGGAGTCTGGTTGAGTTCCGTCTGACGTGCCTCGCTGATTTCTTCGCATTGCAGCTCTGAGCAGGGTCATTGTGTGTGAAATCTTTAAGCTCAGGATGTTCCAGTTTGGGGGCATATGGAATGAGCGGAATGTCCGCTCAACAATGACCCTGCAAGACATGGACAGGCCACCCGCAGTGCAGAGATATGGTGGGTTCTCCATATCGCAAGCTCAAAGACTATGCGGTTCCCGAGTTTAGGCTGGGCGCTTGATCTTGGGATTCATACATACATACATACATACATACATACATACCTCTCCTATCACACTACAACAGGGCCACCAACTTCAAGGATTGGGGAGTTTAGGGTTAAGCGGCGTAGGGATTAAGAGTCTGTTACATAAAGGGGTACCGCTTGGATGTACATGGGTCATTCTGGGGACGCAGTATGCTCTAAACGTACCCTAAACCCTACACCCTAATACCCCTAGAATGGTAGAGCTACATCGTTTCTAGTTCTTCAAGCTTATACA